CATCAACTAACGATGGAACCAAAAATGGGACCAGCATTTCAACTAGTTCAACCAGTGTTTACTATAGCAATACTTGGTGGCGAACTAGCCACGGCTCGTTTTTGTGGGTTATAACCCCAGTGATTTACATGGGATAAGGAGCGGGTTAATCCACTTATAATTGGGGTTATATCCCACTTACGAGCCGTGGGATGAGCCACCAAGTGGACCATAAATGAAACACCGTTCCTCCACCGAGTTTTTCAACAAAATCCAACAAAATGCACCAAACAAATTAACCTAGATCCATCCACCTATATACATAATCCAAGAAAATGCTCAAAAATCCTAGATCAAGAATCACTGCCACATCGCATCCCGTTTTTTTTCTCTTAAGAAATCACCACAGGTCGGCAGCCGTGGCCGAAGTGGCCGAAGCCCTGGAGCTGCGCAGGCGTAATGCGGTACCCGGCTGGTGCTACCCGGTGAGGCCCGGGAGATTCATGGTATCAAAAAATAGAACTGGGATGTTTATTACTAAATGTATTTATTACTAAATGTATTCATTACTGGGATAGTAAATTTATCTAACTGGGATGCTAATTACTATCTAATTACTATCTAAATGTATTCATTGATTTCATTATGATGTAATGATGTTATTCTTTCTTAAGTGTTTATTTGTTTTTTTGACTATGAGTTATCTCACTTATCATTAGTTTGATTTCTTATATTTTTATAGCTGGGGTTGATGTTCAATAATTTAACCAGTAGCCGCTATCTAATTACACAAATCTACTTAGCCAATATTGAACTTGTCCTGGGGTCTCTATTCATTCTACTTTATTTATATATCTTTATTTCCTTTTGGGGCTGTTTTATCTTCTGTAATCTCACTTTCCTCACAGAAAAAACATCAGGTTATAGCAAATAGTTAACCAATAATTAAGTAATATTTAACCAATATTCAACTAACATTCAATTAATATTTAACTAGTATAACAAACTATAGCAGAGGTTGATAACTATTACAACTATTTACAACTAGCATATCTGCTGGTCGAAGGAAGTTTGAAAGTCAAACTTCCGACAATATGGACAGGTGAAAAGCTGAGATGGGAAGAGTCAGAGAAGAGAAGAGAAGAAGAAAGAAGATCAAAAAAGAGAAAGTCTCAGAAGAAAGAAGGTCCAGGTGCGCGAAAAGGTAGGAAAGTCGCGAGACATTGTGTTTTTCGAATGATTTGTGGCTCCGGAGGGTCGAACAGTAGGCTCGCTAAAGCGGCGGGTGCGGAGCCAGCTGGCCAGATGAGAGATGACAAATTGCACGCCTTTGTGGCGCAAAGCACATTTCTAAGTCAAAATGTTAAAAACACCACATGTTGGACCACTTTTGGAAATTGAGATGTCGAAAATGCACGCCGTTGTGGCGTGAAGAACATTTCCAAGTCAAAATGTACAAAGCACACCATGCTCGGACCACTTTTGGAAGTTGAGATGATGAAAAAGTGCACGCCGTTGTGGCGCGAAGCACATTTCCAATTCGACATGTACAAAACATACAAAACACACCATGCCCGAACCACTTTTGGAAGTTGAGATGTGGAAAAAGTGCACGCCGTTGTGGCACGAAGCACATTTCCAAGTCAAAATGCACAAAGGACACCATGCTCGGACCACTTTTGGAAGTTGAGATGTCGAAAAAGTGCATGCTGTTGTGGCGCGAAGCACATTTCCAAGTCAAAATGTACAAAACACCTCAGTTTGGGAGCACTTTTGGAAGTTGCGATGTCGGGGTATGGAGCACTTTTGGACGTTCAGATGCCGTTTCACGTGGCAGGCGCAAGGGATTGTGCACCTTGTCAAAAGTAAGCAAAACGTGAGGGTTTTGTAGCAGTTTCAAAAACGATGGCCGGCGTGGGACATATGCAGAGGATCTGGCAAGATGCATTTCGCGTGGCAGGCGCAGTGCAAGAGACATGTTCATCAGAGCTGTGAGGAGGTCCGGGCTTGCATTTTGGAGCATCAGATCTTCAGGTTTGCTGAGATGATTTTGCGTGACAGGTGCAGCACTTCGTATGACCTGTCATCACTTTTTCGTGGCAGGTGCAACACTTTAGACAGATGGAGTAGAAAAATTGCAAAACGCATTGGTACGCACTCAACTTTCCATTTTTGGAGGAGGTCATGCAGAATTGTTTCGTTTTTGACGTTGTCAACTTTGGAAGTCTCGCAGAATTGTCTCGTTTTTGATGTTGTCAAGTTCAAAAAGTGAGGAAGTCTCGCAGAGTTGCTTCGTTTTTGATGTTGTCCACTTCGAAAATTGAGGCAGGCTCGCAGAATAGCGTCGTTTTCAAGCTTGCAGGCAGACAGATAGATAGATAGATAGATTGATTGATTGATTGATAGATTAATAGATTGACAGATTAGGTAGATAGACAGACAACTACAACTACAACTACAACTACAACTACAACAACAACTACTACTGCTACTACTACTACTGCTACTACTACTACTGCTACTACTACTACTGCTACTACTACTACTACCACTACCACTACCACTACCACTACCACTACCACTACCACTACCACTACCACTACGACTACTACCACTACTACCACTACTACCACTACTACCACTACTACTACTACTACTACCACTACCACTACTACCACTACTACCACTACTACCACTACTACCACTACTACCACTACTACCACTACTACCACTACTACCACTACTACTACTACTACTACTACCACCGCTACTACCTCTACTACCTCTACTACCTCTACTACCTCTACTACCTCTACTACCTCTACTACCTCTACTACCTCTACTACCTCTACTACCTCTACTACCTCTACTACCTCTACTACCTACTAACTACTACCTACTAACTACGAACTACTAACTACTAACTACTAACTACTAACTCTAACTACTAACTACTAACTACTAACTACTACCACTACCACCACCAAATCTACAACTACAATTACAACTACACTACATTACATTGCACTACACTAATTACACTGCAGCACGCTACAACTACAAATATACAAGCAACTACAACTACTACACTACATTACACAACGCTACACAACACTACACTACACTAATTTCATTACATTACATTACGCTACATCTACAATTGCAACTGCAACTACAACTACAACTACTCCTACATTGCACTACGCTACACTAATTATATACAATATACTACAACTACAACAACACTACTTTACACTACACCACACTACACTACACTATACCACACTACAGTACACAACACTACAGTACACTATAGCACACTACCATACACTACAATACACTAAACTAATTACACCACACCACATAACTACAACTACAGCTGCAACTACACTACACTAATTACATCACATTAGAACTACAACTTACAGCTACAACTCCACTACACTACACTACAACTACAACTGCAACTGCACTACACCACACTACATCCAACAGTTGTGGTGAGGTGACCACTGCAACCATTGCAACTACTCCAAAAAACAACTCCAACCAACTTTCGGTCCATCAGTGGATTCGCTCTGCCATCCGTGGTTCACAACAACCAACCTCTCCTATAGGTTTCCTATTTTTGAAACTTCCGCCACCGCCTTGTGCGGTACCACTGGTAAATGGTGATGTAAAGCCACCAAGAATTAGAGAGACTTCGCGACACAAATGTTTTTCTTGAACCAGACATGATGGTTAAACTTGGGGGTAGCTCATACAAAGTGCGAAAATTGTGGTGATTTTTCATGGGTTTCAACTAGAAATCCGGAATTGCCTGGAATCCACCAAGCATTTCTCGCGGCGGTCGGCGGTCGGACAGTCTGTTGGGCGCTGTCAGTTGGATGATGGTGACCATGCCAAGTTTTTCTGGGTTTATAATGGGAAACTCATCTGTAAGTGTTGGTTACACCACCAAAAATGATATACCCTCTGGCTGTGGAAACAGTTTGGTTTGATATTATGGTATAGATAAAAATAGGTGATAAAAATGATGAATTGCCGTTCTTAATTGATTATGTAATTAATTTCCATAGAATAATGTTAAATGACCCGAGGTACATTCTAATTTTGAGGTTGGATTTATGTGATGATTTTGATGAAGATGTAAGATGATGTAAGGAGAATCTGCCGATCAGTTTTATTTGTACTACTGTAGCCTGTCAGATGAACTGCCATATCACATCGGAAGTGTAGCTGCGTGTCATATATGCGCTCAGTTTCTCCAATTGCGGCATTTGCGGCTCAAGATTTTGCATCATTTTGGCAATTTTTTATTTGCATTTATCATTTCACTAATGCTTCAAGTAAACGTGTCGTTCCCGAGTGGTTCTGGAGAAATTCTCTCGCTGCCTGAACACTCCAAAGTTGGGGACTTGAAAATTTTGGCCCAAAAAACTTTCAGAAAGGGCTTCCTGAAACTCGTCACTGAGAAGGGACATGTCCTGACCAATCCTATGGACTCTTTGCACGCTGCAGGGGTGCAAGACGGAGAGCACCTAACTGCCGTGCTGCAACAAGCGAAAGTAGCTGCGTCTGGCGCCGCATTTGCTTTGTGGTTCCATGGAGGTAACGGGGTAGCGACCTGGGGCGATCCAGTCTGTGGTGGTGACTGCTCGGCAGTTCAAGATCAGCTGAAGAATGTGCAGCAAATTCAGGCCACCTATGACGCATTTGCTGCGATCTTGGGGGACGGATCGGTAGTTACCTGGGGCCATAGAGACTGGGGTGGTGACTGCTCAGTAGTTCAAGACCAGCTGAGGAATGTTCATCAAGTTGAGGCCGCCAGTACTGCATTTGCCGCGATCTTGACCGATGGATCTGTAGTTACGTGGGGCATGCCACGCCATGGTGGTGACTGTTCGGCTGTTCAAGATCAGCTGAGGAATGTGCAACAAATTCAGGCCACAGATGAGGCATTTGCTGCGATCTTGGCCGATGGATCCGTCGTCACCTGGGGCGCTCCAGACGGTGGCGGTGGTTGCTCGGCAGTTCAAGATCAGCTTAGGAACGTGCAACAGATTCAGGCCACAGATGGAGCATTCGCCGGCATCTTGACCGACGGATCAGTGGTTTGCTGGGGCAATCCAGAATTTGGTGGTGACTGCTCTGCAGTCCGAAGTGAGCTGAGGAATGTGCAGCAAATTCAGGCCACAGGTGGCGGCGCATTTGCTGCAATTTTGGCGGATGGATCTGTAGTTACGTGGGGCATGCCACGCCATGGTGGTGATTGTTCGGCTGTTCAAGATCAGCTGAGGAATGTGCAACAAATTCAGGCCACAGATGAGGCATTTGCTGCGATCTTGGCCGATGGATCCGTCGTCACCTGGGGCGCTCCAAACGGTGGCGGTGATTGCTCGGCAGTTCAAGATCAGCTTAGGAACGTGCAACAGATTCAGGCCACAGATGGAGCATTCGCCGGCATCTTGACCGACGGATCAGTGGTTTGCTGGGGTGCTTCAGACCGTGGTGGTGACTGTTCTGCAGTTCGAGACCAGCTCAGAAATGTGCAGCAAATTAGGGCAACACTTTGGGCATTTGCCGCGATCTTGGCTGATGGATCTGTGGTTGCCTGGGGCGATCCAAACCGTGGTGGTGACTGTTCTGCAATTCAAGAGCAGCTCCAATATCTTTAGACATTTCGATGATATTTACAGTGTAGTTTGGTTTGCTCCATGGAGAAGCCCTGGGAGACTCCTGGGAGACAAGTGTGTACATAGCTCGCAGAAAGGGGGCCATAGCCTGGCTTTAAGAAGTCAACTGGGGATGCCGCGTCACGTTTGGTTTTGCCCCAGGTCCGTAGCCAAGTTGGTGTATACTGTATACTGTATAATGAGCGAACCTGATTAGTGTATTATACCAGTAGTCCTGCACAAGGCGGTGGCGGAAGTTTCAAAGATAGGAAACCTATAGGAGAGGTTGGTTGTTGTGAATCACGGATGGCAGAGCGAATCCACTGATGGACCGAAAGGTGGTTGGAGTTGTGTTTTCGAGTGGTTGCAATGATTGCTGTGGTCACCTCACCACAACTGCTGGATGTAGTGTGGTGTAGTGCAGTTGTAGTTGCTGTTGTAGTCGTAGTGTAGCGTAGTGGAGTTGTAGTTGTAAGTTGTAGTTCTAATGTGATGTAATTAGTGTATTGTAGTTGCAGTTGCAGTTGTAGTTATGTGGTGTGGTGTAATTAGTTTAGTGTATTGTAGTGTACTGCAGTGTTGTGTACTGTAGTTTGGTAAAGTGTAGTGTAGTCTAGTGTAGTGTAGTGTAAGGTAGTGTAGTTGTAGTTGTAGTGTAGTGTAGTGCAATGAGTGTAGTGTCGTGTAGTGCAATTTAGTGGTAGTTGCCATTGTAGTTGTGGTTGTAGTTGTAGCGTAATGTAATGTAATTAGTGTAGCCTAGTGTTGTGTAATGTAATGTAGTTGTAGTCGCGTTTGTATTTGTAGTTGTAATGTGCTGCAGTGCAATTAGCACAGTGTAGTGTAATGTGGAGTTGTAATTGTAGTTGTAACTGTGGTGGTGGTAGTAGTAGTAGCAGCAGCAACAGCAGCTGTTGTTGTTGTTGTTGTTGTTGTTGTGTAATCAGTGTAGTGTAATGTAGCATGGTTTATTTGCATGTGTACTTGTAGTGTAGTGTAGTGTAGTGTAGTGTAGTGAAGTTGTAGTAGTTGTTGCAGTCGTCTGTCTATCTATCTATCTATCGATCGATCCATCCATCCATCCATCCATCCATCCATCCATCCATCCAAATCATCTCAGCAAACTGGAAGATCTGATGCTCCAAAATGAAACCTCTCTCAGTAAATCAGCGGCCTGACCTCCTAACATCTCTGATCAACATGTCTCTTGTACTGCGCCTGCCACGCGAAATCCATCTTTGCAGATCCTCGTCAAATGTCCCACGCCTGCCATCGTTTTTGGAAATGCTACAAATTCCTCGCATTTTGCTCACTTTTGACAAGGTGCACAATCACTTGCACCTGCCACGCGAAAGTCCAAAAATGCTCCGTACCCACAGGTTTTTGCACTTTTGACTTCGAAATGTGCTTCGCGCCGCAACGGCGTGCACTTTTTCGACATCTCAACTTGCAAAAGTGCTCCGAACCCGTCAGTTTTTTACATTTTTGACTTCGAAATGTTCTTCGCGCCACAACGGCGTGCATTTTCGACATCTCAATTTCCAAAAGTGGTCCAACATAGGTGCTTTTAACATTTTGACTTCGAAATGTGCTTCGCGCCACAACGGCGTTCAATTTTTCATTTCTCATCTGCCCAGCGGGCTCCGCACCCGCCGCTTTAGCGAGCCTACTTTTCGACCCTCCGGAGCCACAAATGTTTGGAAAAACACAGTGTTTTGCGACTTTCCTACCTTTTCGCGTGCCTGGATCTTCTTTCTTCTGACTCTTTCTCTTTCTTCTTCTCTTCTCTTCTCTGACTCTTCCCATCTCAGCTTTTCATCTGTCCATATTGTCGGAAGTTTGACTTCTAAACTTCCTTCGACAAGGTGAGGCCTCCTGATAGCTAAGTTGACTTATAACTTGGTTAACAATGGGTTATCGAGGATATAACTATGGCTCATGGGTTTATAAACCAACTTATAACTGGGGGTCCTCACCTTGTAGGTACATGTAGAATCTGATATCTATAGCTCACTGGGTCAGTTTCTAAGACCAAACACAACCCAGGGGGCACCAACAAGTCCTGGGATATGCATCGAAGGAGGGCTTTTGTGGAGGATGAAACATGCTCAGGTCACGTTTGGTTGTTGATGTCTCGCTCTACCTCCATAAAAGGACTCTAAAGTACCGAAATAAACATATATGATCATATATGCGCAAGTACATTATATATATAATAAATATGCACACATGGATAGCAGAAATCCAATCAGGGCTCGGATTGGGTTTGCCCTCATCTATTTTACTTGTAATTGCTCTGGGATCACAAGAATCTACGTGAATTGCGATGATTTCCATGATCCGTAGTACACCTTTGACCGGGATATGTACAGCGACAACAATATCCAGATTGTGGATGAATTCTGCACGAAATCAACATTTAGTTGATTTGTACAATGACTATGGATGATACAGATTAACTATAATGAAAGCCACCCATAGTACAATAGTAATATAATAGTATATTAACATTAACTATGGGTGATATAATATACAAATTTAGTTGATTTGTATAATAGTAACAAACTAAAAACCACTGTGCACATTATATCAACATGAGATGCCAGTTTCCGTGGGTGATACTTGGCCTGTGAAACAAATGCTATTTTTTTTTAAAGGTGAAAATCCCCACACGGCTTGGGGGTCTGAGCCTTTAATTTGATGTAGCTGTGGAAAACTCAGAATTTTCAATGGGTAGTGAAGAGAATTCACTATTTCATAATGGAAAATTCGGTATATAATGAGCTATTGACTCATCCATTTCAAATCACCAGACAGTAATTCAATCGGTGAAAAAAATCCACGTTGTGTCTGCATTCGCAGTTCGGTTTGTTCTATACCTTCATGTTTGTTGGTCCGTGTATAAATATGGAACCCACGCAGCATTGTCAGTGTCCCCCGGTCAGGTTTGTTGGTTTATCACCCAGTGAACATGAGTTAACAGTTGATATACTTCACATAAACCCAACAGTAAAGCTACTTATTTCAGCCAAATTATAGCAGTTTTCTCGAAAAAGTCTCTGGATAAATCTCTGTTAAGTACCATCAAATCACAACCTTTGCAGGTAAATCCAACAATCCATCAAAATAACCCCTTTAATTCTCCATTTTTGAGGGTGATATCGCCATACAAACCCTACACACCCTGTATTGTTGGTTAGATAAGCCCCATCTTTGGTGGGTTGAAATCCCCCAATTTTGATGGCAGCCAAACGGCCGGGCCGTGGCGCACGATAGATCCGATAGGTCGTCGGAAGCGGCGACCAGTCAGGAGCAGGTCGCCATCAGTGGCACCAGGCTGGGCCGCTCGGAGAGATAACGTTGGTTGAAGAAAAAATAAAACTTGGATGTTTATCGTAATCGATTATATAGTCTGGGCAAATTATGAGGACCTCACTGCAACCTTGCTGGAATCATGGTCAGTAAGGGGAATCATCCCCAAATAGCAGTATTTTAGGTTAGTGAAATATTATATATAATTTACTCAGTTTATTTATAGTTAATATACATTGATATTATACTTATAATTTATCTATTTATAGCGAATCAATCAATAGTTCATATTAATATTATAGCTAGTGTTATAGTAACTCTATAGTCAATCTAATCACACATTTCTATTGGTTATGGCTAATTATATTTTAGACTCATATTTCAGTTAGATAGTCCACTGGTGACTATGGTCAATGAATATAAAATTCTCTTCAACACAGCACAACTTCACCTGGGGTTGATAGCCCATTTAACTAAACGATGTTTATTTTCTTCAAAGGGCGGTTTATACCTAAAACGATCTAATACAGCTAATATCACTAATAGCACTTTAATCTTAGTGTTTTTTTCTTTCCGGGGTTAATTTTAGTAAAGCAGCAAAGCAATAATAAGCTACCAATATTTTGCCGGTTTATACGATCCATTTATGGTAGCATTTAACAGGGTTTAGAGCTAATATGCTAAGAGCTAATATCACTGATGGTGAATTAAACCAATATGAATATAATTGCCGTGTTTATAGCTTCAACTCAAATTGAGTTCATATCACTTATTTGGGGTTAATAGCTAATTTATCTAATGCAACTATTATCCCTCACAAACTAGATTCGCTTTAAATGGCGCTGATAACTAACATATATGTATAAATAAGCAAATATGTAATAGTACATAATATATATATATAACATAATATATATAATATAGTATATCAAACATATATATATATATAATATGATGTATATATAACATACATTTGATATATAATTGAAAAATATATAATATACAGTAGAAATAAAAAAATACAATATATACAA